TGTCCAGCTGAAGACCTAGAGACCATGATAATGACCCCAATGAGTCCAACTATAGGCCTAGAGCCCATAATAATATGCAAGTCTGTTTCATGAATCTACAATGGGGATGCCCAAAGGGTCAGCAGTAGAAGCTAAAAAGTAAAAAAAAAAAAAAAAAAAAAAGAAGGTAAAAAGTCTGTGCCAATGGGATGAAGGATCTGTACCACCAGGTTAAGGGTCCTGCACTGGAGACAAGAAGTGATGCTCAAAGTAAGGACTGGAGCTCCCCCAAAGTGAACCACAGCCTTTCTGAGAAACAACAAGGTCCTGAGCTCATCTGATGAGAACAACCAAGTTCATAAAAGGAAAGAAGTGTGACAAGCTCCTCCAGGAAAACTCACTGGCAACAGGAGAACCAACAAAACCACAGGGAACCAACAACACTACAGAAAACCCAAAACACAACTCCTCCTCGCCAGTTCACCTTTTTATCTTGGCAACTGTCCTCAGGTGGGCTATCCACACTCTGCACCACACTGATTCAGTTCAGCCCCTATTACAAGCTGACCACCAGTTATCAATCCACCACAAGGGTGTAGTGATATAGCTAATGTGAAGATGGTCCAGTATTCAATCCCCAGTACTGCCCCAAACAAACCAAACAAAACCAACAGACTCAAAGAAAATACAAAGATTTCGAGGTGGTGCAAACCTAATTTGCAGCATTTCATTTTGTATCTTTTTTGGTCACAGGATCACGAGGTTATAAATTACTAGGAGGTAGGGAGACAAGCAGACAGTAACAAAGTCACTGGCACCTCCCTCTGGGACACTCTTGCTTCCTGTCTTCTCCCAAGGGGAGCTGCAAGTTACTTTCAATATTCTCCTTGTTATTTGATTAGTTTCAAAACTTTGATTTGTTTTGATTTCCAGCTTGATTTCTGCGGTTTTGAACCCAAGGACTGAAGGTGGAGCTGGGCTGGGCTGGCTGAGCCGTAAGTGTGCACAAAGCCTAGGGCGGGGGTGCAGCTGTCTTCCACTCCCACCCCCACCCGCAGGGCCAGGCAAGGCTAACTCTACTGTAAATACTCCCACTCTTCAGAAAGCCTGATGTCTACAGGGGAAGAAGCCAAGCCGACCAGGATTGCAAACTGCAAAGCAAAGGCAGACAGATGCCAGACTGAGGCAGTAAAGCTGGGAGGCTGTTGGTAAATATTTACAGCAGGGACAGACAAAGGCCTTGGGCCAGGAAGTGAGTTCCAGGAAGGCTGCAGAGAAGCAGGCATTTGAATGGGTCCCTGGTGTGAGGGGCACCTGACCCTTGAGAGCAGCAGCTGGAGATGTCCCCACACCACAGGGAAAATGGTCTTGGAGAATTTGAAAAGCTTAAGCATCTGTGAAATGACTTCAAGGCAAAGGTCCAGACACCTCCTAGTATGGTGAAGCTACTTAAGGGGCACGTTATCAAAAGGCACAGAAGCTAATATATGAGGAAAAAGTGAACCAAGTTGCTCTCTCCCAGCTGTGACTGTGGGGCTATCTGTGCAGGTGAAGGAAACCCTCACTGCGGACCTGACTGGGTGGGCTTGAGTGGACCTCCTGCTTGGCTCCTGCTTGGCCAGCTAAGGGCTGGGCTTCTTCCCCTGCCAGCTGGATACCACCTCTGTGACACAGCTGCCACCGCAGTGCTGGACAGCAAGACAGAGCACAAGGCCTCAAATCAGTCACCCAGAGCCCTGCAGGGGCATGGCCTGAGCCATGCAAAATCTGTGACCCTGCTCAGCACATAGAGAGCTACACAAATCGCTCTAAATCCCACCAGTCATTAACGTCTGTAAATCAAGATTAGCCACCTTTTCTATCCTGCGGGGAATCTTTCCCAATACTTAGCTCCCTGGAATCCCACACCTGCCCCAGTCCCTCAGGGACCCTGCAGGGCGGACAGGACAACCAAGGACTCCTCACTACACTCATTAGGTGGATAAAAATGGCCTTTTAGTTAGACTACTTTCTATGTGTTGGAGAGGTGCTGGACAATGTGGTTTTTTTTTGGTATCAGGAATTGAACTCAGGACTGCGCACTTGCAAGGCAGGCACTTTTGTCACTGTGCTAAATGCCCAGCTCCAGCCCTTTTCATTTTGTAACAGGTTCTCACTAAGTCACTAAACTGCCCAGGCTGGGTTCCATTGATTGCAATCCTCCTTCCACAGCCTCCCTGCTGGGATTACAGGCTTGTACCACCATATAGAGTAGAGCATTTAGGGGAGCCCTTAAGAATCTGCCACACTCATCTCTCTAAGGATAATGGCATGAATACTCAGTATCAAAGGGTAACACTGCACCCAATTCTTACCACTATAGCAGAACTTCACTAAAAGCAAGATTCCTAGAGAGCTCCATCAGGAGTCTCAGGTTTCAGTGTCAGAGCCATTTTTCTGAAGCTTTTGGCCTTGAACTCACCATTTAGTTATTTTCTTAGGTGGATGAGTATTGCCTGGATGCATTTAGTCAGAACTCTATTAGAACAGTAATAGGCAGAAGGTGGGGTGTAGCTCAGCATACAGCGCTGATCTAGCAGCAGGGGTAAGGCCTTGGATTCTGTCCCCAATGCAGAGAAAAGCAGCCCCAAGCATGTGTGACCAGAATTGTCCTACTCCACCACCAGAATCAACCCAAGGTCTGAACTGTATCCTTGGCACTTGAAGACAGGGTCTTTCTAAACTGACAAGTTGCTGAGTGTGGGGGGCACACACCTGGAACTCCAGGACTCAGACTGAGGCCAGCCTGGGCTATTCAAGGTCACCCTGAACTACTTGACCCATCTCAAAAAGTAAACTTGAAAAAACCTAGCAGGTAGGGCTGGGGATTTAGCTCAGCGGCATAAGCGCCTGCCTTGCAAGCAGACAGTCGTGAGTTTGATCTCTGGTACCGGTAAAAATGAAAAAATGAAAAAGCTAAAAAAGAAAAAACCTAGCAGGTGGGGCTGGAGGTTTAGCTCAGTGGCATAAGCGCCTGCCTTGCAAGCAGGCAGTCGTGAGTTCAATCACAGGCAGTCGTGAGTTCAATCCCTGGTACCGATAAAAAGGAAAAAGAAAAAAAAAAAAAAAAAAAAACCTAGCAGGTGATTTGACTGACTCTGTTCTGTCACATTTGGTTCTACTCTCTTCCAAAAAAGTAATAAGAACTGTGGGAGCAACAAAACCCAAAATGTGTAATTATCATTGTACAAAAGAAAGGAAAATAAAGTGCTCTAAATGATATAACTGCATGTATATTTAAGTGTATAAGATAATGATATTACTGAGTTTTGTTGGATCATTGAACAGAACTGTTTGCAGTCTCACTGTTGGAATGTCCACTTTATAAGCTTTAATTTTGTAACTTGAACAATTATTTCTAAGAAGACAATATGTAATCCATTAACTAGTGATTTCCTACTGTTTATTTTTTTCTGTAAATCTATATAACTTGTACCCTTTCTCTGCTTTTTTTCATTTTCTCCTTAAATTTAAAAAAAAAAAAAAAAAACCTAGCAGGTAACCTGGAGTGGACTTGAGTTTGCTTCAATACTGTGGAAATTCTAGTTATAAAAAGTGGGGATTAGGAGCTGGGGATTTGGCTCAGCGCCATAAGCGCCTGCCTTCCAAGCAGGCAGTCATGAGTTCAATCCCTGGTACAGATAAAAATGAAAAAGACCAAAAAAAAAGTGGGGATTAGGCAGCCAGGCGTGGTGGCACACTCCTATAATCCCAGCACTCTAGAGGCTGAGGCAGGCGGATTGTTGCAAATCCAAAACCAGCCTGGGCTACCAAGTGAACCCAAGGATAGTCTGAACCACACAGTGAGACCCTGTCTCAAACATACATGTACAAAAAAATTGGGGTTGGGAGAAGGGAGTTGTCCACTGTTTACTTGGTACCTTTTATGAGCTACATACTCTGAAACACAAAGCTCCATCTGACAGTTGCCCCTTAAGAGCGTGGAAGAGATTTTTCCTTGTCGTTAGTCTACATAATCAGATTGAAAAATAAATGACAATGTAAACACACTAAGGCATCATGTATCTTACACTGCTAGAAAAGTGGCCAGGGGGTAATGGTGGTGCCACATATGAGGCTCAGTGGCACACACCTGTGATTACAGCTACATGTCAGACTCAGGCAGGAGGATCTCACGCTCCAGCCCAAGTTTGGTAGCTCACTGATAATGTCTCAAAATAAAGGGCATGGGCATGTAGTTCAGTGGCAAGAGTAAACACCAAGAACAAGAGCCTGGGTTTGACCTTCAATATCACCAAAGGAAAAAAGAGCAGCTGGGGGCGTGACTCTGCTGGAGCATGCAGAGCACAGTGCAGGGCTGTGCGTGGTGACATTCACCCATAGCCCAGCTGCTCAGCAGACAAGATGATGCTTGAGTCCAGGATGGAAGACAGCTAAATGCTGGGTGTGGTGTTACAAACCTGTAATCCTAGCGCTTGGGGTGCTAAGGAAGGAGAATCGCCATGAGTTCAATGCCAACTTAGACTACATAGTGAGACCCTGTGTCAAAAAAAGCCCAACCAAACAAAGAAAAACCACAAATATTTGGCTGAATTTTTATTCATTGAACCAGCAGGTGAAATCAAGCAGACAGAAACTTTTTTATTCATTTACACTTATACAAGACCAATAGTCACAGCAGATTCATCAGGATTCAGTCATGATGTGTGTAAGACACCTTTCTACAAACAGAAGTCAACACAATGAGGGTCATAATAAATCCACCGCCCAGGGTATTGGGCTGGAGGGGAACAGGGCAGCACACTGTAACTTAACCCTTCACCTGAACAATAAAACTAAGTTATTTCTAGCCCAGTGTAATGGCACACAAGAGAAACCCTAGCACTTTGGAAAGCTGAGGCAGGAGGATTCCAAATTAAAGCCCATAGCAAGACACGGAAGAGGTGGGCAGAAATGCATCTCAACATGAAGGCCTTGGGTTCACTCCCAGTTCCACACACAAGAGTGGAATTTACCAGGTCTTTTTGCAGTTCCAGAAATGGAACCTCAAGCATAATAGGGGAGCACCCACCCTACCCTAATTCCCACACAGGATGCATGCAGTTTTAACAAGCAAAGCCCTGCATTCCCAGAAAATGGCAACGCTTCATCACAGCTTTATGTCTCCCTTGAGTTGGGTTCCCTATCCAGACATCTGACAGTGCTGTACCCAAACACCACTTCCCTGCAGCACACAAGGCTCCTCCTTCAGACTCCAGTACTGCCCATGTCCCAGTGTTGTCACAAAAGCCACAATAAGGGGCTGGGGACTTAGTTCAGCAGCACAAGAGCCCACCTGGCAAGCACAAGGTCATGAGTTTCATCCCTGGTACCAAAAAAAAAAAAAAAAAACAAAAAAAAAAAGCCACAATGAGAACCAGTACCACCCTAAAACAGCAAAACTGCAGGAAGGAAAGGAATGTGCATTCATAGATCTTCAGGCTGCAGGTTCCCAGCATAATTCAGGAACAGATCCAGGTCCTGGGGGGTGTTGAAATACTTGTGGCTGTCCCCAACTACTTCCAGCATGGCCTCCAAGTCACTGGCGGGGAAATTCTGCGGGAAGGGGAGGCAGGGCTGCAGCGACTCCTCCTCGCAGCTGGGGAATGGGCTGTTCCAGGTTTGGGGGCACCAGCTCTGTGTGTTCCAGGAGTGGTTGCCCCACGACTGGCTGCCCCAGGTCTGGCTGCTCCAGGCTGAATTGTTCCAGGTCTGGTTGCCCCACATGGGAAGGTTCCCAGATGTGTTCACCAGGCAGCTCTGGGCATAGTTGGAGCAGACACCTGGGTACTCTGCTGGAGCTGGAACCTTCTGGAAGAGAAGAGTAAGTTAGCAACTGCTGTGTAGCCCCAGTTGGCTGGAACTGGCTGTGCTGTGAGCTGTACAAGAGGCCTGTGAGCTGCTCAAAGTGTGCAAAGGAGGCCGTGACCTTTGGGATGTGACTGAGACCCTCCCTGAAGAAAAGCAGGCTTTGCGGGCTCCACCCCACAGGAAGTTCTCCAGAGCTGTGAGGGGGAACCTGGGAGGAACTGGGACGACCAGTAAATTGAAGGTGAGTGCAAGCCACTGGAGGAGAAATCTAAGAAACTCTGCACACACACACAAAGAGCAATGTTCTCCAAAGGTCGGAGAATGAGCACAAAGTATTAAAACCATGCAAAAGGCCTTGAGTTTCATTTATTTTTTAAGCAATGATCCCTTCCTGTTCTTTATAGCAGAGTAGTATTTCATTGTGCATGAATAAGCAGAAGAGGACAATAAAGGATAGATAGTGAGAGAGAAAGGTCTTTTTTCAAAAATGAATATAAAGGCCAGGGATTTACCTGCCTGGCAGGCATGAAGCTGTGAGTTCAATCCCAGGTACCACAAAAAAAAAAAAAAAAAAAAAAAAAGAATGTAAATAGATGGAGGGGAGAGGTACAGGGCAGAGGCAGGGAAAGGAAAGACAATTAACTGTGGTGCATACACATCCTGATTCCCCTTGGTGAATGCAGTCCTGATGTACTGTAAATGAGTATCGAAGGAAATAAAAATGTTGTTCATTTTAGGTTTCTTGAGACTCACTCCCACTATGTACATCAGCCTGGCCTAGAACTTGAATCCCTCCCAACTGCCAGGGGTCTCCTGGATGAGATTTTTTGGTACTAGGAAGCGAACTTATGACTTCGCATTTGCCAGGTAGGCACTTATACTCTAGCCCCAGTTTAAAAATTTTTAAAGTTCAAGCAAACTGCCCAGCGATTTAGCTCAATGCCTGCCTGGCAAGCACAAGGTCATGAATTTGATCCCTGTTTAAAAAAAAAAAAAAAAGCAAACTACCAAAAATACATAGAGGACAATGAGTTCATTCACAGGGCAAACGGAAGGAAGCCAGAGCTGGGTGCTGTTCTATGCCTTAGAGATGACAAAACTAACTAAAACCCTACAGCAAGAAAGATAGTGTGCGTGTGCAGTCACCTCAGGTGCACCAGCACCATTCTGCAGCCCAGTGCTTTTCTGCCATCTCTTGCATTTCATTCTCTGATTTTGGAACCAGGTCTTAACCTGCAACAAAAAGTAATAGGAATTAGAAAATACAATGCAGATGTGCTTGGTATCAGAGGATGTTGTAAATTTCTCTTCCTAACAACTCAGGAATTAAAGTGTAAATCATAGTCCCATGAAAGTATTTCTAAGACTTTTAGTCAGCTGGCTGCTTTTCTGTTCAGTAAATCTAACCAGCTACACTGAGCACCGTGACATACTCCTATAGGAAGCTGAGGCAGGAATATCACTTGTGCAAAACAAGGTAGGTGTAGTGGCACATGCCTGTAATTCCAGCATTTGTGGGACAGAGGCAGGATGATGGCCAAGAGTTTGAGGCCATCATCAGCTACATAGTGAGTTGAAGGTCAGCCTGAACTGCTTCATAGCAGATCCTGCCACACAAAGCTAAACAAACAAACAAGCAAATAAACAAAAAAGCCCACAGGTTGGGGAGGCGTAGCTTAATAATAGTGCCTATCTAGTAGTCTGTGTGGGACCCTGGGCTCCATCTTGACCACTGCAAAAAATGGTTTATGCGGGTGAGCCATTTGCAATAACATCCCCCCCAACATGAGTATTGTGGCACTGGAGATTAAAAAAAACATTAAGGTTTTTTTTTTTGTCTTTTTTCAGTTTTTTTTATCGGTACAGGGATCGAACTCATGACCGCCTGCTTGCAAGGCAGGTGCTTATGCCGCTGAGCTAAATCCCCAGCCCCAAACATTAAGTATTTGATCAAATATGCAACTGGAATTCAGTAATGTGTCACAAAAATTTAAAAGCCATACATTATTGACATAGGACAAAGAGCTTTAGTTTGTTTTTGAGACAGGGTCTCACCACTTCTCTTAAGTAGCCCAAGCTGGCTTTGAATGCATGATGATCCTCCTGCTTCAGCCTCCAGAGTGCTGGGATTTTACAGGCCAAGAGTGCACCACCACACGTGGCAAGATCTTTTCCCAATTTTTTTTTTTTTTTTTTTTTGTCTTTTTCCTTTTTATCGGGGTACCGGAGATCGAACTCACGACTGCCTGCTTGCGAAAGCAGGCACTTATGCTGCTGAGCTAAATCCCCAGCCCCGCAAGATCTTTTGAAGACAGACAAATTCATTTTTAATAAGTGAACATTTGAATAAAAAGTAAAGGATTAAAAAGAGGAGGGGTGGGGAAGAAGACTGAAAAGGGAAGAGCCAGGCATGGTTGCATCTATAGTCCCACTATTAGGGACTGAGGAAGGAAGTTCACAAGTTTAAGGCCAGCCCGGGCATCTTAGCAAGACCCTGTCTTCCTGAAGATGGGCATGGTGGTGCTGATCTGTAATCCCAGAACTCAGGAGGCTGAGGCAGAATAATCACTGTGAGTTGGCGACTAATAGATATATATAGCGAGACCCAGTCTCAGAAAACAGAAACTAAAGGTGTTGAAAAGTACACACAGGTGCACACAAGGAGGTTAGCCAGCTCTTTGCAAATCTTTTTAGTTTCTGTCCTGCAACCACAAAGGACCCACCTGCTTGTAGCTGAGGTTCAGGAGGCTAGAAAGCTCCTGCATCTGCTGCAGGCTGAGGTACTGCTGCCTCTGGAAACGGTCTCTGAGCACATACAGCTGTGTCTCTGAGAAGACAGTGCGGATCTTCTGCTTCTTAGGTGGGCCCTTCCCCTCCTTTCTGTCTGAGGCCTCCAGGGAGCTGGGTAAGGTGGCACAGGGGCTGGTGGAGGAGTCTGGGGTCTCCTGGAGGGGCAGGTCCCCAGAGGAAGGGATGGGGGAGGCTGCTGGGGACAAGAAAGCAACACTTGACTCTAGAACCGTAGTTTTCAAATACTGAAATGTTAAATGTGTATTTTTCAAACCACTTTCATACAACTTGTAACCTTAGACCCAGGTAATGAGTACCATCTTAATTCTCTCACATTTTGATGCAAGGTCTGGATAACTTACGAATTTGCCCAAGCTCTGAGCAAAGTTGTGATCCTCCTGACTCAGCCTTCCAGAATGCTGGGATTTCAGACTTGCATGACCATACCTGGGTCACTTTTTTTTTTTTTCCCTCTCATAGTTTTTTGAGACAAGGTCTCCCTAGGCAGGCTTTGAACTCAAAATGATTCTCCTGCATTAGCCTCCTGTAGGATTAAAGGTGTGCACCATCATGCCTGGGTTTTTCTTTTCATTTCAGGTACTGATGATTGAACTCACGACCTCACACTTGCCACTGCCAGATAGGGACTTGTGCCACTGAGATAGATCCCCAACTCCTTTTTGGTCTTTTTAAGACAGGGTCTTGCTATACAGTTCAGGCTGGCATTGGTTCACTTTGTAGCCCAGGCTGGTCTAGAACTTTAAAGGATCCTCCTTTGCCTCAGCCTCCTGAATGCTGGAGTGTGAGTGACATCACATGTGGCCTGCTGCCTTTTTTTCTTATCCAACACTGAGCACTGCCAACTGCTATACAATAATAAATGTTTTAGTTTTTTTTTTTTTTTGTTTTGTTTTGTACTGGGAATTGAACTCAGAATCTTATGCTTATCAGGAAGGCACTTATGCCGCTGAGCTCTAACTGCAGCTCAATTATAAATGTTTTAGTAATTTTCATTTCACAAGCATTTCATTTTTATTTTCTGGTTCCAGGAGTGGAACCCAGGTCTCAAGCAGGCCAGGCAACTGGTGCCCTCTCTGCACCCCCTGCACTCGGTAGCTCAGTGTCTGCTGGGATGCTCTGAGTGCCCTTCTCCACGTTCAACTTCAGTTATACCCTGGGGTCACCAACTGAAGAGACAAGCACTAAGACAGCAAAAAGCCCACCATCTTCTCCTGCTGCTTTTGTTTGTTTTGGTACCAGAAATGGAACTCAGCACCTTGCACTTGCCAGGCAGGCACTGTGAGTCTCCTGCTTTTTGCGAGTAGGTCTAAAAAGGAAACTCGGCCAAATGCTAGAAACAGGGCACAGTAAATGATATAGACAAGCCTAGTGGCACAGGCCTGTGATCCTAACACATTCTGTCTGTGACGCTGAGACAGATATCACAAGTTGTAGGCTGTGAAACTTAAGGACTGACCAGAAAGAATTCAGGATGTAGCTCAGTGCCCACCACAAACCAGAATAAAGCAAAACCCAATCCTGAGACCTTCAGAAGTAGCTGAGCCAGGATCTGATCCATCGCCTGGCTAGAAAGCTAGTGGTCCACACTGCTCTGGAATTTTGTGGAGGTCAGACTGCCTGGTTTCTTCTCAAGTTACTGCCCACAACCCAGCACTTTGTTTGCAACACTCGACATCATAGAACAGTAACCCAAAGTTTAGAAAAACAGGCTAACCTTAGAATATACAGTGCTCAAGGCTGAGCATGATGGTGCATAGCTATAATCCCAGCACGCAGGAGGCTGAGGCAGGAGGCTCACCGTAAGTTCAAGACCAGCCTGAGCTACAAAGGCACTTGAAGCCCAGCCCGAACTACACAGTGAGTCACCATGTCAAAAAACAAAACAAGTGGGCCAGGGATATAGTTCAGCGGCACAAGCGCCTGCCTGGCAAGCCCAAGGTCCCGAGTTCAGTTCCAGATAACAAAAAACCCCCAACAAACAACTATATGTGTATAATGGTCCAATACAACAGGCATTGTTCCGTTAACCTTCCTTTCCCACAAGTTTTACAGATACGACCGTCAAAACTTTTTAATACCGCGCGTTGCTCCCATTTAGCGCACTGGGCACGAGTTGCATGGCCAAAATGGGTCTCGAACGCGCGCTGCAGCCCCTTTCCGCCCGCAGGGCGGTGCAGACTCGGACAGTTGTCACCACCAAGTCGGGCGGCACTGACTTGGGAGCACCGCGGGGAGCTTAGGACCTGCGTCCCGCGTCCTCAGTCACCGCAACACGCGCGCCTGCGCGGCGCTTCCAGCCGCCCGGCGGGCTCAGCCGTCTCCGCAGCCCCGGAGCTGGGCCCGGGCAGGGCGGCGCCAGCCAGCACACCGGGACGCGGGGCGTCCGCCTTCCCTCGGGAGCCCGGCTGCGCGGCGCGGTTTCCTTACCAGACTCGGCCAGCGGCTGCTCGGCCTCAGGCGGCTGCAGGGCGCCGCAGGTCTCCGCAGGCCTGGGAACCTCAGGCGTCGGCGAGGGGTCCCCGGAACCCGCGGCTTCCGAGCAGGACAGGCTTGGGGGGCAATCCGGGGCCACACTCATGGTGTCCACGAGGGAAACAAACGAACTGAGTTTGAGAGCGGTTGAGAGACTAAGGCTCTCCTTAAGACTTATGCCTCAGTGGGAGAGCTGAGAATAAGAGGAAGATTTCCACACGGGTCAGCCCGGCCCTACCGGCCTGCGGGTTTCTAAGGTGGGCCCGGGAGACCCGCCCTCCGCCGCCCACACCCCCTACGCCCCCCAGGCCCTGCTGAGTTCCGGGTGAATTCCTGTCTGCCGGGGGCACCTCGACCATTGTCATGCAGAGGGTGCTGTGGGGCGGCCCAGACGGGCTGGGGAGCTTGAAGCCCGGGAGGGAGGGATTGGAAGGAGGGGTGAACCCAGCAGGACCCCAGACCGGGGTTCACACCTGTAAAAGTGGCGCCCCAGCCCCTGGAAACTTTCCCTAGTTTTCAGTCCCTACTAAAGAAATACTAGGGGTGCAGGGCTGATGGTCAGGGGACCCCGAGGAGGTTAGGCATTTGCAATTTCTGCCTTAGTTCCTTGTTGTTTTTCAGATTTTTAGAAAGGAGAGGAGGAAAGGCATTCCTCCAGGAGGCTTGGCTTTCATCAAAAGCCAGAAGAAAGGACCTGTCCACGTGGACACCGTGGTGGCCGTTACCCACCTATCTTGCTATGAGAAACTTTGTAATTAGATTTTCTTTGTTTGCTGTAATTAGTTTTTTGGTAACTAGCTTTTCTTCACAAATTACTGGATAGAATCTTCTCAGCCACTTTAGTAAGTCTCGGGGTGGTGGTCAGGTTTCTTTTTCCTTCCAATACTGGAAATTGAAGCAGGGCTTGTGCACTCAGCTACATCCCCAGCCTTTTTCATTTCTCATTTTGAGACAAGGTCTTGGTAGCTCATCCTGGCTGGCCTTGAATATGTGATCCTCCTGCCTCAGCCTCCTGAATAGATGGATTTCAGGTTCCTAGTACCACTCACTGCACCTGCTTGCTTCTATGTATATATCTGTAAGCAGGGACAGAAGTACCTCCTCTGTGTTTTTTTCTTCATTTTTTGTTTTTGTCTTTTGAGACAGGATCTCACTATGCAGTTTAGGGTGCAGTTTGGGCTAACTTTGTAGGCCAGGCTGGTCTCGAACTTTCAAAGTCTGCCTGCCTCAGCCTCTGGAGTGCTGGGAGTACAGGAGTTACTGCTACCACACCCAGCCTACTTGCTGTGTGTTGATGTAGGAATTAAAGAGAAAATACTGTAGCCAAGCATGGTTTCACAAGCCTGTAATCCCAGACCTCTGAAGTCTGGAGCAAGAGAATGGTTGCAATTTCGAGACCAACCTGGGCTACAAAGTTGAGGTCAAGACCAGCCTGAACTGCATAGTTAGATGCTGTCTCAAAAAGAAAAAAGAAAAAGAAAAAAAAAAAAAAAAAAAGAAGGAAAATGCTAATTACTAAATATTTGTGCCCTTAGGGATCAACCATTAGTGACTATTTTTGAAATTCTGTCAGGATCCTGTGTTCCAAACCCCAGAGTTTGTTTGTTTGTTTGTTTAGTTTTAAATTTGTATTTGAAACAAGCAAGTGATATAATTTTAAAAAGTATCATTTTTTACTTGGGGCAGCTGAGGCTGGAGGATAGTAAGTTCGAGTCCAGCCGGGACAATTTGACAAGACCCTGTCTGAACATAAAAACCAAAAACCTCCCCAGTAGTGTAAAGGACAAAAGAAAAGTATTTGTTGTTTCATCTGGGACATTGCTAGATGTAAAGTAATGAGATTTGTGAAGTAAGTTTGATGCCAGCCTGAACTGCATGGCAAAACCATGTCTCAAAAAGAGAATCCTCCCCCTCCCCCCCCCACACACACACACACATGGCCTGGGGAAGCTGAGCCCGGTGCCACAGGCCTATAATCCCAGCACTCAGGGAGGCTGAGGCAGGAGGATGGTTGTAAATTCCAGGCCAGCCTAGGCTACTCAGCAAGACTTTGTCTCAAAAAATTTCTGACGTGAAGTTAGCAACAACAACAACAAAAAAAAGACTTTGTCTCAAAAAACAACAAAAAGACTGGCGATGTAGTTCCCTGTGATGTTCTTGCTCAGCTTGGACAGCCTGCTCAGCCTTGCTCAGTGCTACAAGAAACAACTAAACAAAGAAATAAAAAGAGAAACATTCTGCTTTCAAACTCCATCAGCAGTTTGGGAAATGGGGATTGTCCTAGCCCCCAAACACCTGGCTCCCTTTATGTCCCTTTGTGTGGTGTCCCTGCAGTGATGGACCAGGGCAGAGCAGGTACAGCCAACAGGGTGACCCCTTCCTGCCCAGGGCAGTGATTCAACTGAGGCTGAGGTTTGGGATCCTGCTGGGACTGGCTGCGGAGTGTGTGGATGGAGGCTTTGCTTGGGATGGCCAGGCAGCCTGGTGGGGCAGATGAAATAGAATGACCAAAAGGACTGCTGTGATTCCAGGCCAGCCCAGTCTGCATTCCAAGACCTGGCCTGAAACAAAGCAAAACAAAGGACCCTGAAAGCCAACAAGTGTTGTGTGGTGATAAATGATGAACTTCAGATGGGCAGAGAGGGAAACTGGGGGACCAGGGGAAGGGGCCCTGGACACTAAGATTTGCAGCCAGTAGCATTCTTGCAGGGCTGCCCCCTACTCTCTTGGTCTCTATGTCTCCCGAGGTGGTAGATTTGGGCCCCTGGACCCTGCGGCTGCTGCTACTGAGAACTGAGGCGCTAAAGAAACGTTCCCCACATCCATCAGTCTCAAAGCCTCTGCCTGTCCAGATCATACATTTTCCTTCTGATCTATAAAATCCAAATGCCTAATTAAAAATAGAGTGATGAGCCCAGTGTTTGTGGCACATGCCTGTAATCTCAGTACTGGGAAAGCTAGGGCAAGAGGATCTCTGTGAGTTTGAGGCCAGCCTGGGCTGCATAAGCAAGTTCAAGTCCAGCTTGCCATTACATAGCAAGACCTTGTGTCAAAGGGGGAAAAGTATGTATGTATATAGTTATATAGTAACTGAGACTAGTGGGGAGGGTCAAACAGGTGGTGATCACAGCCGCTGCACCAGAAGGGATCTCACTGGGTTGTAGCCACCACTGGCTCAGCACTGGCCTCAGAGAAGTGTATGTGCATGTTTGACCACCATGGCCTTATTAAATAGACACAGATGAGATCTCAGACAGGTCATTGGGATTACAGTCCAGAGAGCTGAGAAGTAAAGTGGCCATCAGTAGTAAAGACCTTCAGCTTTGAGTTAACACTGTTTTTATTTTATTTTATTTATTTATTTTTGAAACAAGGAAGGTCTTACTGAATGACCCAGCCTGACCTTGATCTCTGGGAAATCCTCCTGCCACAGCCTCCTTGAGTGTTGGGATTACAGGCATGCAATTCCATTTCTGAGGATGACAACTCCAATTTCCATGAAGCCAAAATAGTAAAGCTGTCTTTGTTGAGTAAATCTTTAAAATGTACCTAGGATCCAACTGCTTCTTTTAATTTTTCCCTCACATGCCCCCCTTTTTCTGCAGCTGAGTGAAGTTCTGAGTATTGCATCAACCTTGGTTTAGAGAAACAGCGGAATTTCAAGATATAAGGCTGGGTGTGGTAGGTGCACAGCTGTAATCCCAGCAATCCCAAGCTAAAACCGGAAGATCGCCACAAGTTCAAGGCTAGCCCAGGTTACCTAGTGAGTTCGAGGCCAACCTGAACTACAGAATGAGAGGCTGTCTCAAAAAAAAAAAAAAAAAAACCAGAAAAGAAACATTCCAAGAAGTAATTATTCCTCACTGAGCATGTGACTCTTGGTATCCCAGCACCTGAGATAATTGATAACTGATAATTCGATGACAACACCCAATAGTCTTCATTTACTATTTTATTTTATTGAGACAGGGTCTTGCTAGGTAGCCCAGGCTGGCCTTGAACTCATTATATAGCTTCGGTTGGCCTCAAACTCCAGGGAATCATTCTGCCTCAGCCTCCTAGGTGCTGAGATTACAGATGTACACACCATGCCCACTTCCTCAAACCTTTAAAAGAGAATTGTTTTTGATTTCTGGCGGAGATAATAACTCTAGGCCGTGGGATGCTGTCATACCCGCTGCTGCAGCTGTTCCTGAAGAGTCCCAGCTCCAGTTACCTTGGCACTGCCTGAGAGTGGATGTTGTGGATGGGGCACCTGGTGAATCTGAATCTGTCATTTATAAATTTCTGATTTTTATCTGGGCATGGTGGCTCACTCCTGTAATCCCCACCACTTCCTTGCTGAGGCAGGAGGATCTTTAAATCTGAGGTAACTTGGCCCACCTGGTGAGAACTTGTCTCAAAAAATAACAAAACAAGGGCTGGGGGTTTAGCTCAGCGGCATAAGCACCTGCCTTGCAAGCAGGCGGTGGTGAGTTCGATCCCCGGTACCGATTAAAAAGAAAAAAAAGTAAGATTAATTTAGCTGGGGATATTTGTGAGGCCCTGGGTTCAGTTTTCAGTAGGGGGTAAAAATTGATCCTTGAACTCTAGAAGTACTATTCTACAATATAGTCTTTGGCTGCTGGGATAAAAATCACTATTTATTAAACCAATGAATTGGTTCCTCAAGGTAAAATGCTGAGATTCTGCAGAATTGTGGAACTGCAAGGTCTGTCAACAAAAACAAAAGAAAAAATTCATTTCCTAGCGCCAGGGATTTAGCTCAGTGGCATAAATGCCTGCCTGGCCCGTGCAAGGTTGTGAGCTCCATCCCAATTAAAACAAAAACAAAAACAGTTCTTGAAAAGAAAAGAAAAACCAAAAGCAACCCTGGCCCTGAGCAAGGTGATTGTTCCACTGGTCTGCACCCTGCCTCCAGGGCTCCAGGGTTCCAAACAGGGAAAGCCATTTCTTCCTCATCCTCTTCCTGCTCACAACTGTGGTCTGCCCCAGGGCCAGGCAGGATAGCAAGAAAGGCTTTACTGCAGGGAAGGGGGTGTTAGCAAACAGTGCTATGGGGTCTTTTGGTGGTGTTGGGGGGGGGTGAAGGGGACTGGTTGACCCCAGGTCTCCCTGTGTAGCTGGCTACAGTTCCCTAGTCTCAGCCTCCCCAGTGCTAGGACCTCAAGCTCAGCACAGAGCAGTTCTCAGGAGAGAGCGGGACTTAGGTTATGATGTGGTATAGTAGTGGGGAGAGGAAGGGGAGAAACCCAGCCCCGCG